ACTTAAGTTACTTTACTAGTAAAATAATACATTTCCGCTCACCCACGATTTCACAAAATATTATACAGAATTTCTCAAAAATGTATTTACTTACATTGAAAAAAAAATTTGCTGAATTTCAATAAATATTTGTTTCAATAGTACTAACGAAATATATTTACTTACAATAAATAAAAATTTACTCAAAATAAAAAAAAATATTATTATACTTAAATCAAATAAATGTTTACATTTAGCAAATATTTCGTTAGTACTATTGAGAAATAAATATTTATTAAAACTTAGTAAACTTTTTTTCAGTGTAAGCAGAGCTAAGATTTACAGATTTATTCTGTTGATTTTACCCGGATATCTTTAAGACTTATATAATCTTAAATATATTTACCTAAAACATTAAAAAGCAAGAATTTTCAACATTTTTTAAAATCATTCTATTAAATATGCCAATTATATCCAAGTTTTTTAATTTATTAAACAAGAGTTATCTCACAAACACTGCAGTTTGTGTAGAAAAATGTTGGAGCTGACCACGTATCATCGTTTACTTTTACCTTCACGATAGACTCCGAGGAAAATACATCCTGTATAGGCACTGTTGACACAGAGGCGGAGCTTATCTACTTTCTCTGAAAACGGTCTAACGTTTCGCGAAGCAATGAGCCTTCAAGCTTGAAGTAGTACAAACCGCTCGAAAATGCTACAGTTTTGTGCAGTGGACGGAGGAATAAAGAGCGCGTTGTGGCCGTTACAAGGACGGTGGATTACACACGATTCACCGCTCCAGACTCAGGGATGATATATACGCAATGGAATACCGTACGGAAGAATACTGGCCGCATAAATTCGGGGCGCGAGTCGCGGCGACGACGACGACGCTAAGCGACATATTTCCCGGACTCGCGTTTGTATCCCGAAACGGTATTAAAGTATTAAAACGTCCCGGTGAACGTTCTCTCGTCCCATTCCGTCCCGTCCTGCCTCCTTGGATCCTTCTGTTTTCGATTCTCCGCGAAATACGTATTGCGTATTATATTCGAAACGCGAATGTGAAAACTGCGTTATCTTGTCATGAGCGCGAGAATTATTTTATCACAAGCTCCGAAACATAGAACTCGTGAAATATTCACGCGTGCTCCGAAAATTCTCCGTATCTGCAATGCGAGAGAATACTGAAATATTAAACTGCGAAGAACGACTTTACTATCTGCGTCTGAATAGCTTGTTTTCGGCTTGATTCAAGAAGTCAAATGCATATGCAGGAACCCCGAAAACGTTACTGTACATAAAGTATTCTAAAAAGACAATCCTTTCAAAGAAAAATTTCTCAGAATTGCAGTAATTCTTTCAGAAAAAATCTCGTTATCAATACTCTATTTGTAGATATTTAATATTTAAAATTAAATACACAAATTAAAATCAAACTCGAAAAGTAAACTTTTTTGAAAGTACGTTTTTCTAAATGTTAGTTTTTTTATGTAACATGTTATTATCAATAATAATAATAATAATCAATAGTAAGTCAATCTTATATTTCTTGATAATTAAACATTGATATATATTTTGATAAAATAAAATTATTTAATAAATAAAATTTAATAAATAAAATTAGTAATTTAATTATTAAAATTAAACATTGTAAAGTAATATTTGTTGTAGTAACAAGTATTAAAACGTCCCGATGAATGTTCATTATTTGATATATTTAAATAATCCGTTAATTGTTATAATAATGTTTTAATCTATACTTTTCAGTAATGCTCAGTAATGACTTTCTGTAATGATGACAATGTCTCATTGATTATACGCCAATTTTTCATTTTTATATTAAAAAACTGCTATCGATTTACAACCTTGAGGATTAATCTTTAGAGGACGGAGATCAATTTTTTAAATTTTACAGCTTTTCCCGAGTAAGATTAGTTATAATTCATTATTTCATTGGATTCCTTGCCTCAAAATATGACGATATTTCAAACTATGAAGCAGTAAAGGTTAAGACTGTATTGGTGCATAGTCGACACGAGAGTAATATATATATTTGTGCTCTGAAAAATTCTCGATTTCACACTGTTCGTTGAAACAATATTAAAATATTAAAGTCTCGTGGAAATATCTTTCCTCGTATGAATATTTCGTTTTCGATTCCGGGAAATCGCATTGTGTATGCATACTCGGCTACGAATCGCATTGAATACATTATTTTATTACGAACTTCGATTGCATCGAACACCGATTGATATGTTTTTATGCTTTCCAAAATGCAATTTCCTTCCTTTGTATAATTGATAAATGATTGCAAAATGATTGAAAAATGTGTCAATATTTTGCTGTCGCGTATGCAATAATTTAAATGTTTTTGTCTTAATTATAGTAAAACATATACTAATTTTATTACTATATATACAGGGTGTCCCGTAAGTTTTTGCCAAACTATTGTGTAAATAGAGCGGACTAAACTGAGTCGAAAAGTCCTCTACCATTTTGCAATTTCCGCAATAGTTAACGAGATATTAATTACTAAAAATTGCCGAATATTGGTCTTCAATAATTTTTTACTCAAATACTATCAACTTTACAGAAAAAGAGACAAAAATCATTTATTTTCTTCTCATAGTGTTCTAAAATTTTTACAGAATTTTTTAACAACTTTTTAGTACTGCATTTTCTTTACTTTACTTTCTTTTCTTTACTTTATTTTTACCAACATGAGAAAATGCGGTATTAAAAAATTCTAAAAAAATTCTCAGAACTTTATGAGAAGAAAATAAATGATTTTTGTCTCTTTTTCTGTAAAGTTGATAGTATTTGAGTAAAAAATTATTGAAGACCAATATTCGGCAATTTTTAGTAATTAATATCTCGTTAACTATTGCGGAAATTGCAAAATGATAGAGGACTTTTCGACTCAGTTTAGTCCGCTCTATCTACACAAAAGCGGTTGGCAAAAACTTACGAGACACCCTGTATATTCATGCTTGTACGACGCAAATAAAATATATCAAACTAGTTGTAAAATGTTATAAATATCAAAGATGACTGCGTCTGCAATTGCAAATGCACAAAAGTGACAAGAACATATTATGCAATTCCACACAAGGAATATAGTAGGATTTCGAATATTCTTTGCGTGAAACAAACGTATGCGCATATTATGTACGCTGTATAATAATCACATCGGAGCCACATATATATCTACCAAAGTTATGGCCGTTTGTGTTGTATAACTAGACATTGAGAGACACTAGAATATATAAGTTTGAAAAAATGATAACTGCGCTCTAAACAATGATGTACCTATTTAAATTTGAATTACCAATAAATTATACATAAAATTATATTATAAATAAATTATAATCAGGAGAAGTGAATAATTCCAGATTCTCAAATCCGGGAAACGAAAACAAAAACAAAAAGCATTATCTCTACACGAAATGTTACAAAGCTTTAGATTTAAAATTTAGAAAAATATATGATATAAAAAAATTAAATAAAACAAAATGCATAATAGCAAAGAAAGTGGTGACTAAACACGTTCGTAGAAAAAAAGGCAAGAAATAATTCTAGAGCATTCTACAGAACGGAATATTGACGTTCAAACAGATATAAAAATATAATAAGATAAGACAGTATCGCTGGTAAGAATGCTATTTTATTTCGTTTCGTGTCCACAATGCTACGACAAATGCCCGCCATTATTTTCTTTTAGTACACGCCAAAACATACTTTCTAAAACACTCCTTTACAATGAATCTTGTTAAGTCACTTTCCGCCGTAACATAATGTATATATCGCAAAAAATTTAAGAGTTCGAAAGTTCAGTATCTTATTAATCTATATTTCATAACAGGGCAACACTTCGATTTTAATAATGTATTATACTATTTTTAATTGGCAAAACGATTGAAGGAAAAAATTCGCGTTAAACATTCGTAAATTAGTTTTCACATTAATACTCCTTTCTTTAATCGTTTTCTTTCTTTCGAACAGCCTTTAGACAGCTTCGCGTCACGCTTAAAATTTCATCATGCCCTCCCCCCCATCTCCAACTTAGAATTCAATGCAGAACAGCGGTTCTCAAAATTCACTCGAAATATCTTTAAATATCACAATAAAAAACCTTTTGCTACAAAAGATTAGATAGGAAAATAGTAAAGTGCACAAAATATGTATCTCCAATTTCATACTTCCCTTTGTCTGGAACTTCTTTCATTTAAAGTAGGCTTTAGTTCCGAACAAGTAACGTTCCTACATTTTTGCCGAAGTCGATTTGAAATCCGTTAAAAATGTGAAAAAATTACATGGATGTCCGAATCATCCGGTTGAAAAATTCAAAATAACATTGAATTTCTATAATGATTTGTAAAATGAATAGAATCTAGTTTACGGTAGTGATTCAATGAGAGTCAGCGGGAGTCGAGAGGTTAAGAACCGCTGCTCCGGAACGATGTTCTCAAACAACAGAGTGGACTCGCTTTCTTTCCGACGCAGCAAGTATCTAGATACGTTCGAATCGAGTTAAACGAAGTCCGGCTCCCCGACGAATGCAAAATGCAACGGTCTTTTATGCCCCATAATCGACTCGCAACACTCGCTATACGCGTGAAACCGATACCTGAGAATAAAACGGAGATAAAGAGGCTGGATCTTTCGAAAGAAAAGACTCCGGGGTTCGCCCACAAGGTTGTATTCAAAACAGAATTAAATTGCCTCTCTAGAGTGTCGAAACGGCCGAGCGATCAAAAGGAATCGGCGACGTGTAAACCTGATCGATTAAGCTTAATTATCTTTTGGTGACTGTAACTTTTATCCACTTTTCTCCTCGTCTAGATTTCCTCATGGTTTCACTCGGCCGAAGCGCCCTCGTCGATCGTACCGTCCGATATGCAGGGATCGCAAAAACCACGCCTACGCGAAAGATATCCGTTGAGTCGGGGAGTCGTTCGACGAGAATTTCGACCGCGAGGCCCCAACGCACCATGATGGTGGAGGTTAAGTCTTACCTGTCACGCGTGTTGGCGCCCGTCGGTGGCTTTCGTGTCTCTCCGTGGAACTTCGACCGCGGCCCGCACGCCGACACGCCTGTACATTATCCCTCGGTACGTCACTGAACCCGCGATCCGCTCCGCTGGTGGATTATTACGATATATTTTCACTGTACACTATTTAAGGGCGGCCCGGAGATACGACACCACGATGCGCGACGCACGGACGCGAGTTAGTCACCACCGAACCAACGTATCGAACTGCTCCGCACTGCTCTCACGTGATCACACAGCGGCACTCGCGCACGCGTCCTCCCGCACGGAGCGACGATCGTTCGACGAACTGACCCGGACTGTGAATCACGGCTACGG